AACTAGGGAATATATAGGGATTATTTGTAGGTGCTAAGGTTTCGGGCCAAAAAGATACTTAAGACAGATTCCCAGGAGTACTCCACATTGCGTTTCCGTTTCCATTCCCCTATAATCAAATCCTGTTTAACGCTACATGCCGTATGAAACGCTAGTGCCTAAACTTCCTAAACCCTGTGCCCTAAACCCCAATCCCTAAGCCCTAAACCCTGAATCCTAAACCCTAAACCCTAAATTCTAAACCCCAAACCCTAAGCCTAAACCCTAAATCCTAAACCGCTTAATTCAACCCAGATTCATGATCCTGGGGCTTTCCCTCCCGGTCCATTGCAGCTGTTGCTGCTCTTAGCGGCACTGGGCCACGGTCAGGCCTGGGATATGGTTTAAGGTTTAGGGCTCTATAAAGATTTAAGGGTTTCAGGAATACTGGAAAATGGAAACTACTATTTAGGGTTCAAGGTTTTCGATTTTTGGGGGACCTAGAAAAATTGATTTTTTATGGCCCTTCTGAGGTCCATAGTGATCAAAAATCTTCCCCAGGAATCTCCCAGCTGCCTTGTGATCTTCATGGAGTCGAGCACTTCTTTCAGCTGTTCACATGATATTTTGGCAGTTTCTTTGGCAAATGTTTCGAACAACTCCGGCAATTTCTCCTTCGCAAAGTCTTGCAACTCACGCTGCAAGTCTTCACATGTCAGTATGTCACTCCGGGAGCATGGCCGCTCCGCGGCCATGCTGGGAAAAACTCCGTGCAAGTGAGCGCTTCGGCCTTCTGGCAGCGGCAACAGCTCAGCAATACATCCTGGTATATTCTGGCACTCTCCTACACATCTGCCCAGTGGCTTATCATTCTTTCGACCCGAAAATAGCGCATGCTCCAGCAGATCGCTACTTCAGCTGGAAGAGGAATTACTATTAATTACTATTATTATTACTGTTACTATTACTGCAATATTACAATTACTATTACCATTACTATTAGTATTACTTACACTAGACATGTCTTAGCGTCGCCGGCGTTTAGCCACATCCGATCTTCTGAGCGAAGTCCGGCAAAGGCTTAGAGCGTAACCGGTTCACTGGACTTCATCTTCATGACCCCTACATATCCCTGATGTCTCTAAGGGCCCACTAGCTTGTCTTCAGCTATCTGAACATGAATTCCCTTGGTCCTCCGTCCTGAAATTATGTATTGTGCGGGGATGTTTGTTCAGGGGTTAGATAGGGCTACCGTAATACCCATCACATTGGAGGAGCCTCTTGTCTTCAATCAGCTGGAAAATTACGAGTCGATGAACAACCAAGTTAGAAAAGGAGAGCTGTAATCACCTAGCTGATTTGTATTCACCCAATCAGTCAGTCCGTTCTATTTTAATTCTGTTGCACACATTCCTTGACATATGTATAGGCACGATTCAAGCCTAGAGAATCAAGGAGGCCGATAATCCCTTTTGATTCCTCATTCCTTGTAACCCCAGAACCCTCCCAATTCATTATGAAGATGTGTTGATTTGGCCTTTTTTATTTCGAAGTAGCCTTCCCCCTTTTTCCAGTGCTCTTCCAGGTTTTGGGGTTCTTGAAGGAATTCGCTTATATCGGGGCTGCTGAATGTTAGGGCTAGGTAATTAGGAGACAGTCCAAACATTGCTTGCAACTACGTAACTGCAAAATCCAGCAATGTGGAGGTACAGCCCGGTCAGACTACGGAAGCCCAAGGTTCAAGGTTTTAGGATCGAATCCCTAAACCCTAAACCCTGAATCCCTAGACACCTATTAACCTTAAACCATTCAGGGTTTAAGGTTAAGAGTTTATTCAAAGGTCAGTCTGGACGCTGAACCCAGGGAGTCCGCGCGGACCCGCAGTTGCGAAAAGCCCACCGCCCCAGTCGTTCTGCTTCGTGTGCCGAGAACACTTTAGGAAAATAATAGGGACCCTGGTAGGTACATTCCCTAAACCCTAAATCCCAAACCCTTGAACCCCGAAATGCGGTCTCCACTTTTCAAGCACCCCGACCCCAAGCTCTCGCGTCACTGTATGGCGCAAGCCTGGGCTCTGGAATTAAGGGTGTAGGGTACCCCCATATAAAGCTCATATAATGTTTGTATAGAAGAAAAAAGGGATCTATATAGGCCTGCTTTAAGCGGGCTTAGGGTTTAGGGTTTTCAGCATTGCGTTCAGGGTGTAGGGTTCAGAGCTATGATCGCACTTCTGGGCTTGGTGGCGAAGATGTATATTGGGGTTCCTGAATCGGGGATACCATTTTGAGGGTCCCCGCAGTTTGGGAAACTACCAGATATTATATAAACCCTCTATAAATCCAGTTTCCATGTCATTTTCCATTTTATCACATTGACTCTCCACAATTGGTTCCTAGCTTATATAATCCCTAGATACCCCACCCCAAACCCTAAATCCCAAATGGTGCTAAATAATCCCCTGCACCCTAAACCCCCTGAACCCTGAACCCCTAAGCCCCTAAGCCCCAATCCCCCTGAACCCTGACCCCCAAACTCTAAACCCAAATCCCCCTAGACCCTAAGCCCTAAACCCAATCCCCTAGACCCTAAGCCCGAAACCCCAATCCCCCTAAACCCTGAACCAAGCGGTTTGCATCCCAGCTGCGGCTGTGTCACTTCTTGAGCTACGACCTTCTGGTATCCTGGGTTCTGTTAAGGAACTTAAGTTACCATAATGGGTATATAGGGTACACAGGGTATATAGGCTTTACGGAACTTAAATTAAGCTACCATAATGGGTATATGGGGTACATAGGGTATGTAGGGGTTAAGGAACTCAACTTAAGTTACTATTATGGGTATATATAGCAACTAATGAGGTTTCCCCAATACAATAGCCTAAATCAAATTCCTTAAATCCATATTTTCCACCAGTTTCCGTTTCATTTTCCATTTGATTCTCCATTATGGGGGGATAATATCCCCAAAGCCTAAACACTAAATCCCGAAATAGTAACTTAAATTAAAGTCCTACACCCTAAACCCTACATAGCCCTGTATATCCGTATATACCCCTATACAATGACCCCATATTGTACCCTTAGTGTAGTAACTTACATCAAGTTCCTTAATAGCAACCCTAACTCCTAAACCTTAAAGCCTCAACCCAAAATAATACCACAATATCATAACTTACATTAAGTTCCTTAACAGCAGCCCTAAATCCTAAACCCTAAAGCCTCAACCCTATATTATACCCCAATATGAGTAACAATCTAAACTCCTAGTATCCCCCTTAATAAACTCTATAGTAATCCTCCATATAATCCCTTATATAACCCCCTTTACCCTGAACCTAAGCCCCTTACATTAAGATCCTTAACAACAGCCCAGCATCTCAAGCAGCTCTTTCAGCCTGACAAGTCTTTCCGAAAGGCTCAGGTTTAGGGTCTAGGGTCTAGGGGTTTAAGGGTTTCAGGGTTTAGGCTTTAGGGGTTGAAGGGTTGGGGGGTTTAAGGGTTTAGGCGTTTAAGGGTTTAGGGGTTTAAGGGTTTAGGACTTAGGGTGTAGGGTTTAGGCCAGAAACTTCCAACTGAATAGCTGTAACCCGGAAATTAGGCAGCGAAGGCCAGAATTACTAAAAGGACTTTAATGGCGACCCCCAACAGGGAACCCCAAGAAACTATCAGGTTTTAGCGTGGGAACCCCCAGAATGTATAACAGGCATATAAGAAGGACCCTGGCAGGTATGTTCCTATTATAAACAGAATCAAAGAGCACTCTAATAGGAGCCTTACAAAGGTAAGTGTTCTTTGATTCCTTGGGTTGAGATCCCTTTTGTGGTCATGAAATCCTTACCTTTAATTGTTATTATATCCCAAATGTATTCTTTCGGTCCCCCCCCCTGTTTGGGTCCACATTAAAGTCCCACTAGCTAAACCCTTTTGCAGCAGGCTTCTGTTTAGCTCAAACCCTATAGGCCCCGTTAAGCAGATAGAATATGGGGTATACGGGGATCTTATTATACTATACCCAAAGCCATAGTCTATCTACTTCAGGGGGACTATACACCCTAAACCCTAACTAGTAGTTTCCATCTTATTTCCCATTATCCCTATATACCCCCACTATAACCCTAATATTCTATCTACTTAAAGGGAACTATAGCCCTTTTTTTGAAGGAGGACTCTCTGACGTGCCTCCAGCCCGCAGCCTTCACAACTCGCACTCGTGGCAAGCTGCACAGCTCGCAAGCCATGATGAACACCCGAGAAGAGCTATCCCCCTGAGCACCCAATCCCTACAAACCAGCAAAAGTCAGTACCTCCCCCCTCCACTCTTCCGGCAGAGCGGAGAAGGCAAGCACCACCTGATGATCAAGCCACACTCTTCGAGTGAGCTCAGGCAACTGAGGCAAAATCACATCAACCCATCTTGGATCGAGAATGAACTCCACGGAGAAACACGTCTTAAGCATGCACAAGTACGGCACAAAATCCCTCAAACCCTCGTCCACACATCGAACCATACATCCCATAGAATGATCTAGCCAAACAGCCATCAGCGATCCTTCGTGGCATATTACCATGACAGCTTGATACCAGTGTGCGGCTTCTGCAGACCACAGAGGATGTTTCCACGAGGTCCAATGTTGAATGCCAAGATACGGGAGCTTCAGTGTGTACTGCATAGACAGATCATCAACAGCTGCACTCCATCGTGTACGGTCACTAGCACACTCCCTCATGACTGCTATATCGGGCTTTCCCTCACTGATCCACCCCAATTGCAACAGACACGTAGCAATGAAGGTGTACAGACTGTGCCACGGCGCAGGCTTTGCTTGCGTTATCCTTGCAGGTTCCTGTGCTTGCACCAAACTCATCTCAACAGAACCCATATCCCTTCTGAGACAGTGGCCCGAAAAGCTCCACTTACGCTTTATGGCCAGGTAGGTCCATTGCTGACGCGCATGAAGCGCCAAGAACACACGTATCACACGTCGCCTTTGCCTCTGCAGGCTCAAAGCACAGGCATCATCAAGCTGTGGAGGAATATACACCCTAAGCAGCAGTTGAAGCAACGTGACCTGAGTAGTGTTTACTGCATCCTGCACATATTGAAGCGGTTCCAATATAACCGAACACCACGACCACTTGGCAAAAACGTACCTATTGAGTATTTGCAACGCGGTTGATGCTTGAGTCCAGCTACAGGTTTTCAGAACAGGAGCCATCACTTCCCAGCCGGCAAACGAAAGGGCCCTCGCTGAGCTCAGGAGCCAGTGTGAAAGGCTTTGCCCCCCCTCGTAGTGCGAAAAATTTTTGCCCAAATACTTGCCCTGATGCTTCCACTGAATTTTGCAGCCCGGGTCATCAGGGTACTGTGCAAAAAATTCGACACCTTGCTGCCATAGATCCGGATGTACCACAAGAACAGTTTTGTCAAGGTTCACTTGAAGCCCTAGCTCATTTAACGCAGCAAGAAGCTCTCGGAACGCCAACGCGAAATCCTTCCACGCCCTAAAATTGAGAATGCAGTCGTCAGCGAAGGCCCATCCACGCAAGGGCCGCCCTTCAGCATCTGCATGAATTGTTTGCACTGTAGCTTCAAGGTCCCATTTCCGGAAAAGCTCATCCAGACACTCACCTAGAACAAGTTCAAACAACCCAGCTGAGGGGGGAGCGCCCTGTTGTATACCAGTGTTGCACTCTAAGATCCATTCGTGGCCGTTCCACCTCATGGAGAGCTTAGCTTTAATGAGCTGAAAAAGTTTGGCTGCCTCTCTTGAGAGCTTCGACGGACCTTGGAGCAAATACTGTAGGAGCCTGGAGCGTTTCAAGCTATCAAAGGCCTGCTGGATGTCAAGGAGCAACCAGAGAGACGGTTGGCTCAATCGGTACTCCTTATACAGCAATGCCTGCGCAAGATAAAGCACGGAGATCGTCTGTCTCCCGGGCAAACAACCCTGCTGCGCACGTGGAATGTGACACTCTGCGACCCATCTCCTATAAAGCAAACCACCAAATAACTTCAAGGTGGCCTCGAGAAGAGATATTGGCCTGAGATCTTTTGGAAGCAGGACCCGAACCTTCTTTGGGATGAGGCAAACAAAGGCTTGAAGCATACATGATGGTAGTCCTTCAGCCATAAGGAGCTGGTTGATGTGGTCACAAAGGAACTGGGCACCCTCCGCAGTCGCAATCAGAGCTGTAAAAATCTCATTGGGAATACCACTATAGGGCCGGACGTCTTTCAATGATGGGAATACTTTGAGACATGTAACTGTAGCTCTTCAATAGTGACCAGTCGCAGTGGGGTGTGTTCTGCATTGAGATTGAGCTCTGCTTGCAAGTCGTTGACAAGCTGTAATTCTGCAGGGGAAGCTGCAGACATGACATCACTGAAATGCTGCTGCACCCTTTGAGCCGCCTGTATTTTTCTCCCAGCCGAGCGGGTCAAAGGCGAAGCATCCATTCTGGAGCTCTGCCTTCGTCGTAGGAAGCTTATGGCCTGTGCATCCCCTTTGCCAGCTCGCTGTTCTATGCTTTGCCACCACTGTTGTTTTTCCTCAGCCCTGGTGCTTAAGATGAGTCTCGAGAGGGAGTGTCTCAGTTCAGGTGTAGCCGCTCCAAGCCTTTGTCGGCAAAGGTCCTTCAAATACGGGCTGTCCTGATACTTAAGCCTAGGCCGAGGAAAGCAACAACGTCTTGAAAGGTTTCTCAGAACGTCCCATTGTGTCTGGGCGTCTCGAGGAACATCATGCAAAGTGTGAAGGTGTTCTTGTAATGCATGTTCACCCACATAGGAACGCTTACACCCCGAAAACCTGGGTCGCGAAGGCAAAGCTGCATGAGCTTTGACACTGCCCAGTAGGAACTGCGTTTCAACTAGCGCATGGTCGGCCCCCACATGTCGCATAGCCGCAGTATTCACTGAGACATCCGCTGTCTCCAAAGGGTGCAGAAGCTTGAAATCCTTGATGGTGACCCTCACAAAGAAGAAGTCGTACGTTCTACTACTTTGCAACCCAAACCACGTAGCAGATTCCGGGTAGATGAGGGAGTAGTTGTGAGCTGACATCAAAGCGGTGAGTTGCAAGAATCGTTCATCCCCTTCTTGGCAATTCCAGTCCCCTGCAATCAGCGACACAGGAAAGGCATGGCCCTTGCGACATGCTTCAGAAATCTCCTCAAGAGAATTCTGGAACTCTTCATCAGAAAAATTTTTGTGAGGCAGATGGGCGCTCATGACGAAGCAAGAGCATGCCAACACACTGTGCCTGTAAGTCAAATAGATGCACCTCTTCCCTGCATGTCCAGAGATGACATAATCCACACTCTGCTCATCCAGGAGAATCACTTGCCCCAAATGACTTTCAAGTGAATGTGCCCCAAACATAAGAAAATCTGCCAATTCAGTATCTTCAGCAGCTTCAAACGCCTTGAGGTGAGCAGACAGCCCCTCAGCCGCCTCCCTTAGCCTGAGGCCCCCTGCCCCAAACTCTTCATTAATTGCATGCAAGCCAGCTACCTCCTGCAAGACCAAGACATCCAGCACTTCTGTCCTTGGCCCCTCCAACACAAATTGAGTTTTTCCAAGGTTCGACCCAGGGTGCAGAGGGAGGGAGGCTCAGACTGAAGCAACGGTAGTCCTGACTCTGGATTTGGTCAGTCAGATCTGAGCAGGACCTCCAGGTCCTTAGCATCCTTTTGGGCAAGCATCGCTATGGCTGTGAGCTTAAAGTGCCCCCTAGCTGGCGCACTGAGTCCTTGTGAAAACGTCACGCTGAGGATCCGATCTTCCGCTGCCACAAGCAAGGCTGAGGCCTCCAAGGCTAGGGGCCTGCGATCATGGACCCAGCAAACGCCAATGGACCAATCAATCTCCACGGCATCATTGTCTGAGGCTATACCCATGGCCTTAAGCATCCTGTCAAATGCCATCCTGAAAAGCTTGTTCCTTTGCCTGAGAGCAAAGGGTTTGCTGGGTGACATCCAGATCAGTTCGCCACCTGTCGCCATGAGTTGTTTGTTGGCTCGGGGGAGAAGACTGTAGAACCTTTCCCTAGCAGTTTGGTCGGGAAGGGGTGCAAGCCAGATATGCCCCACGCGGGCACGCTTCCCGAAAACCGCCTTTTTGGTAACGTTCTCAACCTGGAAGGTGTCGATAAACTTTTGCAAATCAGCCTCAATGATTTGCCTCCTTGTGTCTACTTGCCAACCTCCCAGGACTAAGTGATTGAAGTCAGACTCGTCTCTCAAGATGGCAGGAGGAGGGATCTCTACTGGTCTCCACACTCTCGGTGAAGGCAACTCCTCTGAAGGAGCAGCAGTTGTAGAGCGACCTCCGTGCTCCATTTTTGCCCTCAAGTCACTGAGCTCCTTTTCAATCTTATCCATTCTCGCATGATCCTCAGTATGTTTGGCCTCAAGAATGGACATCCGATCAGCAAGCTGCTCATTGACTACTATCATTCGATCAAGGCGACTTGACATGGAATCCTGCATAAGCCCCAGCTGATCTTGCAGAGCAAGAGCCCATCTCGGGGCCCTCTCTTCCCCATCTGTCCCGCCCAGTGGAACAAGAGGCATGTCATTCGCCTCCAGCTGCCTGGGTGCCCTGCGCTTGGGACTCCTGTCCCTCACTGCAGGCATAGTTGAGTCGTCCGACATTGCCCCGAAGCTAAAACTCTTTTCTTTCAGACCTTGTAGCCGAAATCTTGCCTTGTAGCCATTTTGAACTATAGCCCTAAACCCTAAACCCTTAATCCTAAACCCTATGTTCTATCTACTCAAGGGAGACTATGGCCCATATGGAGAATGGACGTAGAGCCCCTCCGGGCTCTTCCCAGCCACCAAATATATAAAGGGCTTGGGAGGCGCTGGCAGGTTCTGGAATTTCTAAAAGTTTCTGAGGCCCTTTTGCTGGGACCCCTGGAAGGCCCTGGAGTCCCCTGAAAGTTTCTGCAAAGGGAGCTGGCAGGCGCCGGCGCCTGGGAGGCGCCTGGGAGGTGCCTGGGAGGTGCCTGCAAGGCGTTTGAGAGGCGCCTGGGAGGCGCGTTTGGGAGGCGCCTGGGAGGCGCGCCTGCGGCGGGCCCGTCCTTCGCCTTATGGAGAAGCGAGAAGACGATCTGTTGGAGGTGGGAATTGAACGCGTAGCCCTAAACCTTAACAGGAAGTAATTTGGGTGGTAGCCTGTGATGTCTCGCAGNNTGGGAGTGTTGAAGAAAGCCCAGTTTCGATGGCTTCTCGGGCA